GGTATTTATTCATGCTCGGGATAGTACTTAGGCTATGATATGCCTAGATTTAACTGTTAAGCTTAAAGATATAATGTTTCTCATATTTGTACCATTGTTGTGAACTATTTGAGCCATACTTGAGGTTACGAAGATGCTAATTCCCTTAATAAACTTGATAATTATTATTTCTGTGATGAATTTTCGGTTTGAGCTATGATAGCACACATTGCACATGCCTACACTTTAGCAAGTTATTATACCATTCCAGGAGCATGAAATCTGATATTTATCCATCATTTTACATATGTTCTTGTATTCTTGCTTCTGTGTGATATGATTTGGACTGGGTGCCTGTGACCATGCCAGACGGATTGTGTTGTTATGCATATGACCATGTCGGGATTATAATATTGTGCATGTGACCACGCCAGACGGATTTGTATTATTAGTATGTGAGTTGTCTGTGCAGCACGAGAGTTGTCATTGCGGATCCAGATATTGATATTATTAGCACATGAGTTATCCGTGCAGCATGAGAGTTGTCAGTGAGGATCCAAATATTGATATTATTAGCACGTGAGTTATCCGTGCAGCATGAGAGTTGTCAGTGAGGATCCAAATATTGATATTATTAGCACGTGAGTTATCCGTGCAGCACGTTAGTTGTCTGTGCGAATCCAGATATTGATATTATAGCACGTGAGTTGTCTGTGCGGTTGATATTATTAGCATGTGAGTTGTCCGTGTAGCACGTGAGTTTTCCGTCCAACGTGTGGATACGGATCCATCCCCTAGGGTCACCCCCTCATGTTTCTCTCTTGATAGTGTACACGTGGATTGTGAGAAATCGATGAATTTCTGATTGATGTATTGATGTGAACTCTGGGAGAGCTGGTTATTATATTTGGATTGGGTTGCGCACCGCAACGGACTGATATTTGGTTATGGCATTTAATCTTTAATTGCAATTTCCTTGCCTGTTTACCTTATTTACTTGCATATCTTTCTTCTATGCTGGATTGTTGACTGTGCATAATACTTTAAAACAAAGAATTTGTGAGTATCAAAGTGGTTTTACCTGAGATTTCCTGATTTGATCATATATTTATTTTATACTTGTTGAAATTATGAACTGCACAGGTGTTAGTGAGTATCATCTATAGTTTTTGCTTCTTTTAGCTCGCCGATGTTAGTTAGGATACTTATTGAGTACATGGGATCGATTGTACTCATACTACGCTTCTGCACTTTGCGTGCATATCTTGAATTTGATGTTGCTGTGTACGGCATGAGCTGGCATTGAAGATGTACATGCGTTTCAGTTTTGGCTATCACTTGTCCTTGGTAGCTTTAGATTCAGATTCTATTCACTTACATTTCAAACAGATGTTGTAATTATTTCAATTTAGTTTTATAAACATCTAAGTCTTAGTGGCTCATTACTTATACTATCCTTGGGAAGTCGTATAAAAATTCAGCTATTTTATTTTTGACTCTTATCATTATCACTATATTGTGTTTTATTATTATTTGTCTTACCTGGCGGGTTGGGTTAGGTGCCATCATGACGGGTTGAATTTTGGGCCGTGACAAATAATAAGTGGTGTATTAGCAATGATTTTATTATGAGATCGTACAATTCACTTTAGATATGATATACCTTTTCAAACAACTGAAATAACCATCACAAATATATCAAAGCAGAGCAATGGTGCTAAATTTACAAGGAAAGCAAAATTTATAATATGGGATGAAGCGCTTATGGCTAAGAGTCAAAGGATCGAAACAATTGCTCAGAGTTTTAGAGATATATTAGATATCAATAAACCGTTTGGTGGAAAAGTAATTGGTTTGGAGGTGATTTCCGTCAAGTACTATCAGTAGTTCCAAAATCGATGAAAGCAGAGACTGTAAAAACTAGCTTGCCAAAAATATACTTATGGCCTCAAATGAAAAAGATTGAAATGACAAAAAATATAAAAGTAAGAACAGGTCCAGCATTCAGTGACTTCTTTCTTCGTGTCGGAAACGAAGAAGAGCATCCAATAAAAGATAATATGGTTCTTCGAGAACGCGTAGCTATCAAGCCAAATGGTAATAGTAGTACATTTAATAAGGAAAATATTTCCATCATTAGATTAAAACGCAATTTGTGTAAATTACATAATAGAAATTAAAGAGTTGTCTTAGCTAGCATAAATGAATATGTTGATCGACTAAATAAAATGTTGATTGCTAAGTTTTATGGTAAAAATAAAATATTTTTCAGTTTTTGACTCAGCAGAAGATGATACCAATAATTACTACTAAGAAGAATACTTTAATACCAAATGACCTTCTACCATACAAGTTTGTTGTCAAGTTCATTATTTCTTACATATGTTAGTGTTATCGTATATATAATAGACTATGTTAAAATTGATCTTGCATTTCATATAGGTTTATTTTGAAGAAAAATATGTCTGTCATGCTACTAAAAAACTGAGATCCCTCGAATAGCTTATGTAATAGTACACAGATAGTATATAGAAGTTTTGACAATAACGTCATACATACAAAAATTATGATACTGGTAAATGTGCTTTCAAGTATATGTTTATCCCCGAATTCAACTTTCATCTTCCGAAACTAAATAATATCTTTTTAACTTTGTGGAAAAATAATTTTCAGTATGTTTATATTTTATAGTTATATAATAAATAAAGCAAAAAGACAAACATTCTAAATATTTGACTATATTTATAACAATATATTTTCTTGCATGAATAATTATATATATTGCACTTTCAAGAGGGATATCAATATCCACAACAAGAGTTCTGGTTATGACAGAGCGACCAAAGCATTAGAATACACAAAAAAATAATATCTACAAAGAAGTGTTCGGTAAGATACCATCACATTAAATACTTTTAAATTATAATACATAATTATCTAATTAACATGACAAGATTGACCATTTGTGTAAGTTCTGATGATGTCCTTTTATTTTGAATTCACGTATTATGCAATCTAATAGTATTTTTCGGCATTAAGATGATTGTTGTATTATTATGCATAAAATTTCTCATTAATTTTGTTGTTCCTTCATATAAATAAATATTTAAATTATCACGTGTTATTATTAACGTGTAACGTGCGTTCATAGATACCAGTATAATATGATGATATATACACACATTAATCGCCAATGTTAGCGGGCTGCACACCACAATTTTTAACTCTTCTTGGACTTTGGCTCATCAATACTCTATTGCACAATTTGCTACTTTACAAGCATTGTTCATAGATAATGGTAAAAATAGCGCGGGCTAGCCAATTTTCGAACTGTAATTCAAAAATAGTCAGTGTTTGCAAAGTCATTAAAAAATAGCCACTATTTTGCTGCAACACATATCGGTCCAGCATAATATACTGGAGATTGGTGCACCTGTGTATGAACTTCCAGTTATTATGTTGGACCGGTATATTATACTGGAACTCCAGTATATTATGTTGGAATATTTTCCGGATTTTGAACAGTATTTTCGTTTAGATTTATCTTTACATGAAAAGTGGCTAAATTTCGATTACTTTTGAAACTGTAGCTATTTTTCAATTACCACTTGTAAATCTGGCTATTTTTGAATTTCTCCCTGGAAATTGTCACGCAAAAATACCATTTCTTTGTGATGTCAGACTCTAACCCGACTCTTTTTTATATCATTAGCATGATTAACAGATTGAAGATTCATTTTTCAGAAGATGAAATATTAGTGAAGAAATAAAAAAAAAAATCAATAATAAGTTTGCTAAACTATTCTGTAATACATGAGTCCTCCTCACCTTAATTCTAGCTTCAACTCTACCCGAAAAACTTTCTTGGGGATGGCCATTATACCTGATGCCGGAGAGCAACTTACAGAAGTTCATTTTTACTACCCACACAATTGACAATTTTTTAAAATTTAAGGGGTTTGTTTTAGAAGTTTATAAGTCTAATATAAGGACTAAAGAGGCGCAGGGACTAAATTTATGTTCTTGAAGTCCCAGAATGGCTTCTTTCCAGAAGATGTCATAATCCATATGCCGGAATCTATCACCAAACATGTAAAATTTCTTGTAAGGATTTTATCTCTCGAATAACAAAAGCAGTGCGAACTTATAACCGCTGAGAGGTTTGTTGGGATGACTAAAATCCCTCAATAATTAGAGGTTCGGATTTGAGAAAATAGAAAACCTTTAGTGCACCCCCTTAATGGACTTATCCAGCGAGAATTCATATTAGTCGGGCCTGTTGGTTCCGAATACCGGACGATTAAACCAAAACAAGTACAACACAAATATACATGTCAAATTTATGTACTACTACTAGTACTACTAAATGTGAAACTGTTTGCTAGGGTATAGGTCAGAATACGTTAAAGTTCTAAGTCAAGCTGTTTTTAAGCATGTATAGTTAAGCCAAAAATAGTTTATTTGAGCAATTTAGTCCTCCAACCTGAACATGAAGGCTCCATTGCTTGAACCCTGTATAACTAATAACCCTTATTTGTGGAGGCTTCAGTAATCAGTACTGTCACCCTCTTTGCAAATTGTTTTCCCCTGTAACATAAACCTAAAAAGAAAGGACAAAAGTATAATACTTCAACTAGTCCACATATATATCGAGAAAGTTTCAAATCATAAGTATTAAGACTATATGTAGCAAGAATCATCAAATTTTAAGTACTTCAGAGCGTTCCTTGTAATGAAATTTTAGAATGGACCAGCCATTCACTCTTGCAAGGAGAGAACAGAAATATCACAAGGGACGTTGTACTTCCAAATACTGCTTTTCAACTTCAAATTCAAATACTCATTTATTTCAAACTTCAACCAAATAATACTAAGCAGAACTGCATACTCAAATCAAGTGAAGTTTGTCTGCAAAAGAGGTTCATTTGTAAATTAGCTGTAACTAAAATGAAGAGTGATTGTCTATGTTCTTTCATTTGTGTGGCAATTTAGGTGAAATTTTCAAGAAATCACTTCATCTATAAGGCCCCAAACCTGAATTTTAGCATCAGAACAATAGCTCGACAAAATGAAATTAAAACTGGGTATTGAGTAACGTGTATTCACAGTCATCTTAAGGATAATGTACACATAATGAAACACTAGACTTTCTTCACAAAATATTACATGTCAGTATTTAATCAATCCCAAGCTCTTCAACCAGGGAAGCACCTCAGACAAACCTTCTTTCAAACTTCTAGGGTGGTAATCCAGTTGTGCCTTCGCCTTATCACAAGAGTAAACCCACTGATGTCTAAGCACGGAAACAGTCTGTTCAAGATGACATATAAAGAGGTAATAAGAATTAAGGTCCAATGCAAGCTAATGACTTATTAAAAAAGAAATGGAATCTAGATCAGCCAAACCACAATGCACGGAACATGTAAAATCCCTTCAATGTCATCATCTGATTTTTTGATGGGTGAAAACATTAGGCCTGCTTATGTGCTGATATCATTGTCTACTTTTGTTTTTGCAGCAAATACTAAATCTTTTAGCAGCTTGTTAAGTAGCAAATGTTTTCAAAGAAAGAAGACCGAGCAAAGAGGCACACATACTGCCCTAGTTATGCAAATGCAGAGTCCAGAAGTTGAGGTTTCGTTTGGGAAATAAGCAACATAAGGATGGTGGTCATACATATAAATTAGATACATAATATTAGTCCTATACATTTTTTGATAAGTAATTATCCCGAACTATAAGTTACAACAATGAAAAAGGTCTACTAGATATGCTAAGAAACAATGTGTCACAAATAGAGCCAAATGCGAACGCACTGCTATCCACGTCAGAGTAACAGATCTGCAGCAATTTAAGCAGGTAAAGTGGAGACAAGTAGCAATGCAGCCATTCGAAGTTGATCTTCAAGAATTAATTTGGCAAGTACCTTGAAGGGAAAGCTAAGCCCTATGTATCTGTCATTGTGATATTGCTGCATTAAACCAATTCTCTCTTTTGCTGACTGTTGGGTATCGATTCTCAAACAACTTAAGATATACTCCACTAAGAAAAACCAGTATAACTAAAAACTTTAAGTAGCAATCTGTTTCTTACCGGAGGACTGATTAGAGGAAGCTTTCCGGTTAATTTGGAGAAAAGAACTGATATCCAGCCGTAAGCTTCAATAATAAGTAGGGGAATGCCAAACAAAGGCTTCTTTGTCCGAGTGATCATGGCAGCTATGTCAAAAACTTCCTTAAATGATGCATTCTCCCCAGTAAGAAGATATCTTTCACCTGGTTTGCCTTTGTCCATAGCTGCAATATGCCCGTCAACCACATCATCAACATGGCTAAAAGAAAACCTGTCATTTGCTTGGCCAATGTAACCAGGTAAACGCCCATTAAAGCGTTCAATTATCTGACAAAGAAATATCCGACAACTCGATATCACACAAATTTCATATGTTTGACAAATAATATTACAGCATCTAATTAGTAAAATTGCTAGATGCTACAATTGCAAGATGAGCATCGACCTCAAAATTTTTGTTTGTTGCAACTTAATTTTAACCTTTTTCAGTTGGTTAATACCCTTCAAATTTACACATTGAGGAAGTTTTCCCTTCGGTTAGAATTTATTTGATTCACCTACAAATAAAAAATTCCTGTTTATCTCCTTTTTTACCACTTCTCCTAGTCTTCTTCCTTCTTACTCAAATTTCTTTTCTATCGGAGCCGTATTGGCAAACTTCATGCTTCATTTCTCCTCTTCATCTTTTCTTCACAACTTCCTTTTTCCTACTCCTTTCTCCTTCTCTGCTCTTTCCCCTTACTTTTGTTTTTTTTTTCTTTTTCTCCAAAGGATTCTCCATTTTCATTTTCCTTCTATACCTCTTCATCTTCTTCCTCCACCCATCTCCAATCATGCAGAGTCCAGACAAGTCTAATGATGCACCTCTTCTACCCTTCTGCTACTTTCCAGCCACTTACTTCTATTTTCTACTTTGTATCTTCCTTCTTTCACTTACAACCAAAATAGGTAAAAGAATTTTAAATGATTAGTTGCTAATTCTAGGGAAAAGGAGGAAACTGAATTAAATAAAAACCACCCCTCTTACAGAATGAGAAGTTCGGCATCATTGAACACGTTTTAGTCTTGGGTAAAGCAGTCATTTTGCATGCAATGATGGAACAATTAAAAGTTTTTAATCAACTAAAAAAAAACATTGCCAGTGTAGCTATTTCCAAAATCCTTAACAATAAAATGATTAATTTTGATTGTAACCATCAATTGAAATATAACTAGTTCCAAACATCAAGCTCAATCAATGAAAGGGAGAAAGAAGGATGAAATATTTACCATACGCGCAACGACATTTCCAGCTGTGACCTTTCCAGGACCATATATAACTCCTGGATAAACAGGCACAATCCGCATTCCTTCAGACGCAGCATCTAATGCAACTTTATCAGCAACAGCTTTCGATTTCTCATACTCCGTACAGAAGGATTTTCCACTATGAGTCTGTATTCAATAATATCTAGTCAAACTCTTATGAAAAGAGCACATCTAGACATATTAAATTCGCCACTTACGTGAACTGCCTAATCTAAAAGCTAAAATTGTCAAAAGATGAGAACATTTAATTATTATAGGTATAGGTATGTAGCTTCCCTAAGACCCCACTTATGTGATTTCACTGGGTATGTTGTAGTTGTTGTAGTTGTTGTTGTATGTAGCTTCCCTACTGAACGTGCAGGCCTCGTTCTTTTTCTTGGACCAATATTAGTGTTTATAGGTGACGATGAAATGCAAACACAAGACTTTTGCTTGCTATGTTGCGTGAACCGTCTCATCCAAAGCTTACATTGTTAAAAAAGAAACATTTATTTATTTTACATCAGCAACACAGTTAATCAGCTCTCATACCTGAGTTTCATCAGCAACATATCCGTCAGTTGATCCTAAGGCAAAAAAAGATGACGTGTACACAATTTTCTCAATAGCTCCCGTTTCTTTAGAAGCTTGCAACACATTCTTCAACCCTCCAACATTGACCTATAGATGCAGTGAAATAACATTGTAAATTCTAAAAGCAGCTATAATGGATACTTAAAAGTAGCAATAAAGAGTATACTTAGTATGTTTTGTGAAAGATATTTTCTTAGATGAAATCATCAGTGTTTGTAACATGTTTGTCCAAAGAGAATATTATGAATGGAAGTCATTTTCTTATTTCCAACTGTTCCTCCTCATCGCTAACTTCAATAGACATTATGGTCAAACCTGTAGGAGTACCTAAAGTATCACAAAAACCTAACCATTCCACCATCGTTTAGTATATACACAATAATATCAGAAAAAGACTATTCTTATAGGCTATCATTCCATACTCAGAAGTATCATAAAAACATTATTCTTATACCCTATTATTCCACCATCATCTACATTTAAATCTATCTAAGTTTAAGTTTTATACACCAATGGTGTAAAAAATACTTATTCAATTAGGTCCCTTGAAAGAAATTGCAAATAACTCTATTTAATATCATAGATAGGTGACCTAAAATAAATGGTAAATAACTTACTAAAACAGGTTAAATTACACAAGTGGTGTAACAAAATCATTAGATTGTCAGAGTAAATAACCTAAATCCGATCTAAATACCACATGTCACCTTCTTTTATACCTAAACACTGAAATATATTTTTCTAAAAAATAAAACAATATCTACGAAAAACATTTTCCTCCACGCCAATCACATTAGGAATTTGTGCTCACGGAGCTGAATCTAGAAGGATCCGGAAGCCAAGGCTCGACTAAAGCGGCAGCGTGAAATATGACGTGGCAACCGGAGCAAGCCAGAAGGAGTGACTGATAATCTGTAACATCTCCGAACACAAGCTCTAGAGTTCCGCCGCTGCTTCCGCCGTCAATAGGCGGAGGTAGAGAAGAAAGGTCGCTCGTACGGCGGACGAAGGCTTTAACATGGTGGCCGCCGTTGAATAACTGGTTGCATAGCCGTCCACCTAGGTAACCGGAAGCGCCGGTCACCAGTACGACTTTCTTCTTCATTTCCTGTGTATTTTTCAAGTTCTTAGTCAACCATGAGACATTTAGACCGGGACCAGGCTTTTGAGTTTTTATGCATGACTTTTGCAGTGAAGGGCTTTGATTTTGAGTGTATTTCGATTCGATCACCGCAGAGTTTTTATTTTGAGTTACAAGCACCAATTGGAGAAACCTACTACTCTTTTCAACTTTTCATACCATCAAGTTAAAGTGTTTATTCATATTATTTACATAGTAATCTATTTTACTTGTCATATTTATATAGTAATCTATTTTACTTGTCAAAACTCTGTGGGTAATTTTAGTTTTAGGGTGTGTTTGGTATAACGGAAAATATTTTCCTTCTTGGAAAATAAGTAGTAATCTTCTTCATTTTTCGGTGTTTGGTACGCGCAAACTTCCAAAAGAAAAAGTAAAAAAAACAATTGCGGGGAGGGGGTAGTAGGGTGGGTGGTGACGAAAAAAAACTGAAATTTTAAAAAATAAAAGCCTTTTCTAAGAGAGGGGGTGGGGTGGGTAGGTATGNGTGGGGAAGGTTGAGAAGGAGTTTTGAAAAATATTTTCCCTTCTCTTGATAAGGAAAATATTTTCCTCCAATTGGAGGAAAATGAGTAAATAAGGAAAATATTTTCCAAAATATTTAAACCAACCAAACATGGAAAAATTAAAAAATATTTTGCGAAAAATATTTTCCTTCGTACCAAACACACCTTTAGTAAGTGCTCCTTTGTTGATCATTAACAATGAAAGAGAAAAAAGAGAGAATGACCTATAACGAGAGTAACTCATAAATATTGGACCACCAAAAAATATGGTGTGGTTTGATGAATAGAACCCTCCACAATCAATTAAAAAAAATTGGTTTGAGTTTAAGAAAGGAAAAACTTTCATAGAGAATATCCTTATTTTTCTCTTTTAGTGAAATTTTCTGTTAGCCAATCTGTATTACTTTAATAAATAATGAAACAGTAAACTTTCTGAAATAGAAAACAGAAACAGAATGTTAGCAATTTCGGAATAAATCGAGCCCACTAAATGCACAGTGTGTCCTTAAGAAAATTATTCCCCTCAAGTACCCGAGGTGTTGGAATATTATCCTCCCAAGATAGAACGATTTAACTCACCAGTGTATTGGTACCAAAAACTATGATGAACTGCGAATCACTCAATGGTTGTAGAACACACTGGAAAATTTTGTACAGAAAAAGAAGAAGAAGATCAGAAAATTTCGTAAGGAAAGATTAAAAAAAGATTTAAATAATCCGGGAAAGAACTCGACTTGGTCGGGTCGCGGGTCCTGGGTTATGTTAATTAATTTAATTAATTAATTAATTAATTTTAAAAAAAATTGTCCAAAAATATTAATCAATCTATCGATCTTTGACCAAATCTGAAGTCGAAGCCGAAGCCGAAACCGAGCAGAGCGAGCGACGACGACGGCGCGAGGCTTACTTTCTTTCCAACTCATTTAACACCAAGAGAAGTGATTTCTCAATATACACACATTCACTTTTTTTCACCACCAATGAGAAACACTTTGCTCTTTTCAAAGCAAGAGGGAGCTCACTTTCCCTCCACTTTCTTCCCTCCATTTCCCATTCACCCATCTTTTAATCCTAACAATCCCCCATATGAAAGGAATGCACGGACGAGTGTGTGATTTACATGCAAGGATTAATTACATCTGGATAAGTAGGTTTTCCTTTGAACTTTCCGTAGTGAACTTATATCGGATATATTCAGTCAATCGGTAGATTTAATATCTTTGAACCGTCGAGCTTTGTTGTATACCTAGACAACATAAGTCACAGAATCAACCCTTAACCATCTATGGTTCTCATGGTTGTGTTCATTTTAGCTATGAACACCGCCTGGTTTCATGAGTGCTTAGAGAATGGGCCTTTACTTTCATTTTCCTTGAAGCGGCTTACACTTCACACTCACATAGGTGATTTCTAATCGTGTAATCATATAGACACACTATCTGAATATTTCCTGCCAGACTTAGCAAATCATTAAAAAGCTTTAAGCTTTATTGACTCATCAAAAAGCCTTAATATTTTACCCTGATTTCTGAACATTGTCTTCATCACGAGAATGGGATGAGTTATTTGACAATGTTGAACCGTCATTCATAACTTTGTTTGATCTCTTTGAACCTAGCTCTTGGGATCTCCAGTCTTCTAGGTAGAGTTACCACTATGATGACTTGTTCTAGGCCTTAACCACATTTCCTTCGATGATCTTTCTACTGCCTCTCTAGATAGGCCTTTTGTAAGTGGATCTGACACGTTATCTCTTGACTTTACGTAGTCAATTGTGATAACACTACTAGAGAGTAGTTGTCTAACGGTATTGTGTCTCCGTCGAATGTGACGAGATCTTCCGTTATACATAACGCTCCTTGCCTTGCCTATTTTCGCTTGACTATCACAATATATACATATAGGTGCCAAAGGTTTGGGCCAAAATGAAATATCTTTCAAGAAATTCCGGAGCCATTCAGCTTCTTCACCGGCCTTGTCTAAAGCTATGAATTCAAATTCCATTGTAGAACGAGCGGCGATGCACGTTTGCTTGGATGATTTCCAAGACATTGCTCCACCCCCAATGGTGAAAATATATCCACTCGTGGATTTAACTTCAAATGATCCGGTGATCCAATTTGCATCACTATATCCCTCGATCACGGAGGGATATTTGTTATAATGAAAATCATAATTTTGGGTATGTTTCAGATACCCCAAAACTCGTTTCATTGCCATCCAATGTATTTGATTGGGATTACTTGTAAACCGACTCAGTTTGCTAATAGCACATGCTATATCTGGTCCCATACAATTTATGATATACATCAAACTTCCCAATACTCTTGCATAGTCCAGTTGTGAGTCACATTTACCTTCATTCTTTTGGAGTACATAACTCACGTCAATTGGAGTCTTGACAATCTTGAAATCCAAATACTTGAACTTGTCAAGTACTTTTTCAATGCAGTGAGACTGTGATAATGCTAGACCTTGTGGAGTCTTGTGAATTCTGATTCCTAAGATCACATCAGCAACTCCTAAGTTTTTCATTTTAAATTTGCTAGCCAACATGCGCTTAGTAGCATTTATATCTGCCATATTTTTGCTCATTATCAACATGTCATCAACATATAAACAAACAATGACTTCGTGACTTGGAGTGTTTTTAATATAAACATATTTGTCACACTCGTTGATTTAAAACCCACTTGCCAGCATTGTTTGGTCAAATTTGGAATGCCATTGTTTGGGTGCTTGTTTAAGTCCATAAAGCGACTTAACCAGTTTGCACATTTATTTTTCTTTACCCGGAATCACAAAACCCTCAGGTTGTTCCATGTAAATCTCATCCTTCAATTCTCCATTTAATAAAGTTGTTTTAACATCCATTTGATGGATTTCAAGACCATGCACGCCCACCAGTGTCACTAACACCCTAATAGATGTTATCCTCTTTACTGGCGAGTAAGTGTCAAAGTAATCAAGGTCTTACTTTTGTCTATAACCTTTGATAACAAGTGTTGTCTTATATTTGTCAATAGTACCATCAACTTTCATTTTCTGTTTAAAGATCCATTTCGAACCTAAAAACTTATTTTCTGGAGGAAGATAAACCAATTCACATATATGGTTATCCAAAATTGATTGAATCTCACTATTGACTACCTCTTTCTAAAATGCTGAATCAGAAGATGACATAGCTGCTTTGAACATTTGAGGCTCATTTTCAAGCAAGAATGTCACAAAATCTGGTCCAAAGGAAGTAGATGTTCTTTGATGTTTACTACACCTTGGATCTTCATTACTTGGAGTATTTTCCTTTGGTTCTTCCCGTGGTCATTTAGGTCTTTCACTTAACGACTCACATTCAGTTTTATATGGATAGATGCTTTCAAAGAATTCAGCATTATCTGATTCAATTATCGTATTAACATGAATTTCGGGATTATCATATTTATGAACCAAAAACGGACATGCTATACTGTTTGTAGCATATCCAATGAAAATGCAATCCACAGTTTTTGTTCTAATTTTTACCCTTTTTGGGTAAAGGTACTTGTACCTTTGTTAAACACCCCCACACTTTGAAATATTTCAAGTTAGGTTTTCTTCATTTCCATTTTTCATATGGAATAGATTGTGTTTTGCTGTGGGGTACTCTATTGAGTATTCGGTTAGCTGTAAGGATAGCCTCCCCCCCACAAACTCTGTGGTAATCCGAAACTTATTAATAAAGAATTCATCATTTTCTTTAATGTCCGATTTTTCCTTTCCGCAATTCCATTGGATTGAGGTGTGTAGGGGGCAGTAGTTTGATGGATAGTTCCATATTCCGAACATATTTCTGCAAACGGAGATTCATATTCTCCACCCCTATCACTTATAATCATTTTGATCTTTTTATTCAATTGATTCTCCACTTCATTCTTATATTTCTTAAATGCTTCAATTGCTTCATCCTTACTATTAAGCAAATAAACATAACAATATCGAGTACAATCGTCAATAAAAGTTATAAAATACTTTATTCCACCTCGAGATGGTGTTGACTTCATATTACAAATGTCAGTATGAATTAAGTCTAAAGGATTTGAATTTATTTTAACAGACTTGTAAGGATGTTTTACTGATGTTTGGCTATAATTCCATATTTGAGTATATTATTTACCTTACATTTAGGTGCTTTAATGCTAAACTATACTATATTTGTCCTTAATTGAGTTTATTTTATGTGTAGGTACGTCGAAGATGAAATTGGGAGCAAAGTAAGAGATTTTATGTGTATTTTATACACTACAAGAATGGAATTATGATGATTTGATTAGTGGATATGTATGGACTAAAGTATTGAAAAAGAAACAAGGAAGACAAAAACGTGAAAGAATTGAAAGGTTGAAAAAGAAAGACAACGTGAAATGGAATGTTAGCCAATAAATCAAAGTCAGCCTTCTAGGCGACGCGAGACTCATTGCTCGTGTTAGAGCTCACGCCGCGAGGCCTGAGGCGAGCAGGAGCGTGCATTTGAGCAGGCTAGGC